TCATACATTTGACCAGCAATCTGGCTCCTGCTACAAAAAATAATAAATGCACATTTTTTTACCTGCAAAAAATGTGCATTTATTATTTTTTGTAGAAAGGGGAACTTATTCTTTAAAAGAAGAGCTCCCTGCCAAACAGTATTTACATTTTAATCTGCATTGGTACATGTCCCCCCTTTAAATGTCCAGCTCCCTATAGCCTTTGCTTGGCAATCCAATTATCCTTGAAAATAGAGAGAATCGATTTTCAAGAATCACCTCCCATTGACTTCAATGGAGTTTGCATTAAATGTTGCAATTTGCAGTTTCTTGGATGTGTTAGAACCCAAATGCCCATTTTACTTACCTGAAGCCAAAGTCACATGATGATCCTTTTCTCTTGTTCTGTTTACTTCATGGGGTCCTTCTTTAGGTATTCACATTACTTCCTGCTTGATGTGGACACCTTCTGTTGGTAGAGGCAACATTTCCAGATGCCAAGTTTTCTCTGATAGGCTCCAGAGGCAGGAAAAACATAGGGTGGTGAGGAGACCTGTGTCCAACATGATAAGCAGGAAAAAATGCCTGATCCCAGACCAGGATATTAGTTTTGCTTTTAGAAGAAACCTAAGCAGGCCATAGATTATACAAATTTTTTTCCATCACTGACTGTGTTGATGGGGGGAACCCTTCCTGCAGCGCTATTGTGTTCTAGCAGCAGGGAGCCTTCCTGGCCAGCAGAACACAGTGATTACTGCTAGCCGCTATAGCCATTGGCAGTAATTGCATGTAAAAAAAATCTGACAGGCTGGTTGTACCCAAGTCGATTGATCGGGCAAAACCAGCTTGCCCAGAGATGGATTGAATCTCAGCCGGTCCCTGCTGAACCAGTTGAGATTTGATCCTCCTTTTCTCAGGGCCCCCTCTGGTGCCCTGGGCTCCTCCTTCCTGTCCAGTGCCCCCAGAGCAATCCACCCCCAAGCCCTGCTCTGTGTGTCCATAAGACACACAGAACGGGGCTCAGTCACACTCCCACCCCTACTCCCTCCTTATTGACTGTGATTGACAGCAGCTGGAGCCAATGGCTTCCACTGCTGTCTGTGAGACAAAAAAGAGGCAGAGAGCTGGGACAGCAACTACTCACATGCACATCACTGGATCAAGATCAGGTTCGGGTAAGTATTAGGGTGGGCTGCGGGGGGAGCTGCATACTGAATGTTTTTTACAACCACTTTAAGAGGAAGAGATGTTTGTAATCAAGACTGAGAAGTAAGATAATTAATGCACTATTTAAAATTGGGCTTTTCACACAGTGATATTTAACCACTTTAGGACCCCCCCGCCTGCAATGTACTGTGGACGGGCGGCAGCTACAGGACCAGTGATGTACCCGTACGTCGCTGGTGCTTTATAACACAGGGGCGTGCAACCCTTCCCCCACGTCCGCTGTGCCCCAGAAACCGCAAAATGAGAATCCTGGTAACTGGAATCTGGTGATCATGTAATCACTATGCAATCACATGATCACAATGACAACAATGATTTTATGAATTCATAAATGCTTTGCTTCTGTTCCTGGAGAGCTGTAATTATGTCTGCAGCTCTCACATGGCACATGGGGCCAATCATAGCACCCTGTACCATGTGACCAGCTGGAGTCAACCATAGATCACTGTATTTTGAACTGTCATGAACTTAACCCATTCATGACAATTCAAAGCAAGCTTTGCATTGCAGAGCAATAATAATCTTCATTGCTCCTGCAATACAAAGTGTAAAAAAAAAAAAAGAAAAATCCCTGATCACCACCCCAGAGTAGAACAATGTTTCTATGGTAACATTGTATTACTCTGATGATAGTATTTTTTTTTAAATTCCAAAAAGAAAAAATAATGTAAAAAATAATTTCAAATGTTTAAAAAAAATTGAGAGAATTATATATTTTTTTAAACTACTTGCAGCCCGCCCGTGCAGGCAAGCAGCAGCTCTGGTCTGGGTGTGCATGCACATGCGTGTGCTCCCTATGCCATCTAGGGAGAGAAGAGGGAACACGGCACTGTAAAAGCACTACATTTTACACACGTTGGATTAGCACATTTACCTCTTTGATCTCCCCTATTAACCCTTTGATCACCTCATCACTCATCACTGAAAAATTCTATTTACTGACACTGTACTAATGGCACTGGCTCACTGTATTACTGCCACTAGCGACATCAGATAGTGTCGAGGTCAGTTATCGCTCCTCGCAGCCAGGATCAGCTAGTGTTCGATTGCCCACACACTGGTCGTTGGTCACCGCCATTACTAGTATAGTGTTTGTAAGGATCAATATATTGATCATAAACAGAATTATACTAGTGCCTCCTTTTTGTATAGTGTCTCCAAAAGCGCAGTGTTAGCAGGGTCAGCCCCATTTGTTGCAAGCACTAGCGTTTAGCCTCTCTGCCTTTCCCCTCCACCGCCTTACAAGATTTTCTTGGGCTCTCCCATCCAAACCCAAAAATGCAGCTGGCAATTCCTCTGCCTGACAATAGAGCTGATCGGAGACTGGAATGCCTTCAATCTTCTCTATGGTCTAAGAGACCAGAAACTACGAGCATTTCATCATTTTGGTTTCGCCAGACATAACAGTGCCATTTTAAAATTGAGAAAGTATCTGATCACATTGATCTTGGTGTGATCAGATGCCTAAAGGGCAGAGGAGAGATCTAGAGTGTAATAGAACCAAGATTTCTCAGAAAAGAGTACCTGTTACTGCCTATTGCTATCACAGGGGATATTTACATTCCCTGTGATAACAAAAAAAGTGCTAAAAAAATGAAAAGGACAGTGTAAAAATCAAAATAAATAAATAATAATTAAAAAAAAAAATCACCTCTACCCCCATCCCTGTGCTAGCATGCAAAGGCAAATGCCATCAGTGGTCCTATGGCAGTATGTAAACAGAGACTGCACCATGAATGTGAGGTATCAACGGGAACTGTCAGGAATGGACTTGCCAATAGTGGAGGGACTCACCTGCCTTGTGGGCTGCAGTACCAGGGCTGGCCAGCGGGTGCTCTCAACAACCAGAGGTTCACTTTGGCAATTAGCCATCACCTGGGGCTGATTGCAGGTGGTGTATTTAAGGGATGGCCAGACCTGCAGTCTGTGCCTTGGTGTGTGTTTTTCCATGTGGCCCCTGTACCTTGTAACCTGCATTCCTGTTCCTGCCTGACTTGTTGCCGACCCTGCCTGATCCTGACCTCTGCTGACTTCTCCTGTTTGATCCCTGGCTTGTGACCCTGACCATTCTCTGCCTGACCCCCTGTACCTACCTGTCCGTTAGTTACTGTACCCGGCTTGTGACCTGACTACTCTCTGCCTGCTCCTCCTGTACCTACCTGCCCGATAGTTATCGACCCGACCTGCCTGACTATGTTGTTTTTTTCAAAACCCTGTACCAAAAATGTTATCTGCAAAATACTCACTATGCCTCCCATCAAATTCCTTGCGGTGTCTACTTTCCAAAAGGGGGTCGTTTGAGGGGGTGTTTGTACTATTCTGGCATTTTAGGGCCTCCAAAACTGTGATAGGCAGTGAGGAAGTGACATGAGGAAATATGCCCTTTGAAAGCCTGGAGGTGGTCATTGGATTTTGGGGGCCTGTATGTGGATAGGCTGCCAAAAAGTCTCTCACATGTGGTATCCCCATACTCGGGAAAGTAGCAGAATGTGTTTTGGGGTGCTATTCCACATATACCCATGAAATGTGTGAGCAATATATCATTTAAGTGACAACTTTGTTTAAAGAAAAAACATTTTTTTTGTTATTTTCCAAACATTTGTGGCAAAAAATAAAATGTTCTATGGACTCAACATGCCTCTCAGAAAATTCATTTGGGTGTCTGCTTTCCAAAAAGGGGTCATATGGGGTTTGAAAGCAAAAGCTGTGTATATTCCAATATAAAATATATGCCTTCGTTTGTAGATGCTATAAAATTCACCAAATAATATACATGTATTGGGATTTTTTTTTACCAAAGACATGTAGCAGAATACATTTTGGCCCAAATGTATGGCTAACTTTGAGTTTTCCTGATATTTTTTCTATCTGAAAGTAAAAAATATTTTTTTTTTTTTAAAATGTTTTTTTTCCCATTTATTTCACAAAAAATAAAAAACCCATTGATAATCAAATATCACCAAAAGAAAGGTCTATTATGTGTGCAAAAAAAGGGCATATATTTTTGGGGGTACAGCATTGCATGACCATGCAATTACCAGTTCAAATATTGCAGTGTGGAATAGCAAAAAATGGCCTGGTCATTAAGGGGGTAAATCTTCCAGAGGGCAAGTGGTTGAGGTCAAAAAATTACAAATGATTGACCATCTTTGAGCCTAAGGATAAGTTTTTCTTTTTTCTTTCCGTGACTTGAAAACAACACTTCCAGGTATATATTTTCACTGTGATGCTAATTGCATAACATTCCCCTGCACCCACAGATAACATTATTTTGACACTATATGCAAAAGGCTGAATGTTTCTCCAATAATCCCTGTCTATTTATTGTGATTATATGCTGACCTTTTTTAAGAACATTTTGAAAAATAGTTTTCTACTGGCAGAGTATTGCATGCAATTGCTACTGTTGGATTGGGGAAGAATTGGTTTCTATTCACTATAGGGTCAGTAATTACACAAGATAGCTATGCTTTGTTTTATATGCAGGAAATGTAGCATTGCTAAAGTACCTCTAAATATAAAAAACACAATGAAGTATCAATTTTTTTTTTAATAAACATCATGAATACATATGTAAACATTGCTTGAGTTTATCAGAATCAAATGTATCTATTTTAATATGAATACAGTGTAACAGGTGGTAAATTATATTTGAAAGCTTCCCTTGCTATTTGTTGTTTTTAGGAAAACATAAGGATTAGTGTGAATAATGTAGGTTCACATTAGTGTGGGTGTAGGAATGCTGTAGATCGCTCACATTCCCGCAGCTGCACACTAAATGTGATGCTTTAAAGACAATGTGTGAGGGTGCCATTAACTCAGTTGGCGACCGCCCTATAGCATCTTTACTCCTACAGGGCGGCTGCTGCTGTGGCGCACCAGGGATGTGTGCACCCTATCAAGAAGTGCAGAATCACGTGCAGAACAGGGGCGGACTGACCATTTGGAAACTCGGGCACTGCCCGAGGGCCTGGGGTCAGTAGGGGGCCCCATGAGATGCCCCTGGTACCTTTTTCATAGGCCCCATGATCCCCTATTGCCCAGGGGCCCCATGAGTTGTCACTCCGCCCCTGGTGCAGAATCACATGTATATATGTGATTCTGCATTTCCTGGTAGGGTGTGCTCGCCACCGGTGCGCCGCTCTGCTGTGATTAGTCACAGTAGAAGCCAATCAGCGTGTGCCAACCAATGGACGACCGCCGACACCAGCTGATCAACGAGAAGAGAGACAGAGCAGAGCTCTGCTTATAATAAACAAAGCAAAGCTGTGTCCTGTCAGTGGCAATGTGTTCAGCACATCCCTTAATTATAAGGCTCCATGCACACGGGGCGTTTTGGTAACTCTGATAACGTTAGCTGTGTAAAGTCACGTTAAAAACGTGCATTTTTTCCGCTTTTTCAGCAATTTTGCATTAGCGTTTAGCAGCATTTTTCCAAGTTTTTTCATTTTTGCGGTTTTTAGCGTTTTTTGTTTTTTTTACCAAACACAAAAAATTGGAGAGGGGGTGTGTGTCCAAAAATGTCCAAAAATGCTGGTTTGCAGCGTTTTGCCACGTTTTTCAGCATTAGAGCATTTTTACAGCTAAAAAACTCCTCTAGACACCCACTAGTCCTGGGTTTGTTCTTCCAGCCAAAAACATCCCTGCCAAAATACGTTGATTACAGTCTATCTGTGTATGGACACATAGGATAACATGCTGGGGAGTTTACTGGCTGTAGAAAAAAATGTCAAAAGCCAAAAACAGCAGCTGTAAAAACGTCATGTGTGCATGAGGAGTAACACCACACTGTACTGGCTAGGCACAGAGTTAACCCTGTGATTGCCCTAGATGTTCAACCCCTTTCCAGACAGTGACAGTGCATATTTCTTAGCACTGATCACTGTATTAATGTTACTGGTTCCCACAAAGTGTCGGTGTCAGATTGTCCGCCTGAATATTATAGTCCTGCTATAAGTTGCTGATCACCTCCATTACTAGTATAAAAAATAAATAAACATTCCAATATACTGTATATACCATAGTTTGTAGATGCAATAACTTTTGTGCAAACCAATCAATATACGCTAATTTGGGATTTTTTTAACCAAAAATATGTAGCAGAGTACATATTGGCCTAAATTTATGATGAAATTAGATTTTTTTACATTTTAATTGGATATGTTTTATAGCAGAAAGTAAAAAAAAATTGTTTTTGGGTTTTTTCAAAATTGTCGGCCTTTTTTGTTTTATAGTGCAAAAAATGTAAACCCAATGGTGATCAAATACCACCAAAAGAAAGCTCTATTTGTGGGGGGAAAAAATGACATGAATTTAATTTATGTACAGCATTGCATGATCAAGCAATGTTAAAGTAACTCAATGCTGTATAGAAAAAACATGGCCTGGTCAGGAAGGGGGTAAATCTTCCTGAGGTCAAGAGGTTAATAACCCGCCCCCCCATACACTGAAAAATGCATCGTGGTTTCCCGTACTCAGAATAACAGGATGTCAATGCACCATGTGGTTTCTGTGTGGGCACGTTTTAAAAAAGGTGGCAGAAATGCGGGATGCAGAACAGCACTAATGTAAACCTAGCCTTATAGTTTACAGTTCTGTGTATCCTTCCCTGAAAAACACTCGAGGGGGAAAACACTAGCAAAAACTTTCCCTCTGTTGTCATAGCCGTGGGCTTTATGCTGCCTGAATGAGCACAGCCTAAACCAGGGGCGGACTGACAACTCATGGGGCCCCTGGGAAATAGGGGATCATGGGGCCCCTGTGTCCTTGCCCAAACTCAAAAAAGCCTATGAAAAAGGTACCAGGGGCATTTCATGAGGCCCCCAACTGACCCCGGGCCCTCAGGCAGTGCCCGAGTTTCCAAATGGTCAGTCCGTCCTGGCCTAAACTATTACTAGAGTGTGCTATAATAGGTAGCACATGGACTGCTTTATATTCACAATGTATTTTGCACCATGCAAACTGGCAAATTTGAGAAATAAAAGATGATATCATGTTTCCTGGGCAGCGCTGGGGCTTAGTGGTTAGCACTTCTGTCTTGCAGCACTAGGGTCTTTGGTTTGAATCCCAACCAGGACACTACCTATCAGGGGCGGACTGACCATTTGGAAGCTCGGGCACTGCCTGAGGGCCCGGGGTCAGTAGGGGGCCCCATGAGATGCCCCTGGTACCTTTTTCATAGGCTTCTTTGAGTTTGGGCAAGGACACAGGGGCCCCATGATCCCCTATTGCCCGGGGGCCCCATGAGTTGTCAGTCCGCCCCTGCTACCTATATAGTTTGCATGCTCTCCCTGTGTGTGCATAGATTTTTCCCAGGTACTCTGGTTTCCTCCCAAACTCCAAAGATATGCTGGTAGCTTGATTGGCTAAACTGGCTATATTATGTATGCATGTGAGATAGGGACTGTAACAAGCGTACACACAGTGAAAGACGCAGCCCTCCATTTTGTTAAGAAATCTCAATTTTGTCCCCTCATTCTCCCTTGGAATATGAGAGACTTACATAAAACCAGACATATCGCCAGAGAAGACGAACAGTTTGATAGGTCACTCTCCTGGGCTGGAATACATAGGAAAGCAGAAAAGTAGATCTCGTGAACCATTCAGTGTAGAATTTTTATTTCATATCTAATCAATCCTCAGACGTGTCTGCATAATAATCTACCTGCGGGTGGAGTGTCACTTGTGCATATGGAAAGTTATGAGCCAAAATATGAACTATAAGAGATTTTGGCTCTAGTTTAGGTTTATGCCCAGACCTTCCCGCCCTAAACGGGGTATTGGTCCTTGACTTCAGAGACACTCCCTGCTGGGGAATTACAAAATGAGTTGTCAGGCCTAAGAAAGTTAAGTTGAAGAATTCTCCATTTTAACATCAGGACCACCTGGGAGACCCATACCCTTTTGCTCTGAAACTTGATCTGCTTACCCAGGACTTTGGCAAGTACTTTAACCCTATAACCTCTCTCTGTTATCTCTTTGCTGTGCTGCTGTTCTCTGTATATTTATATATATATTGGTTACATCTTTTTTCTGTAAATATTTTTATTGCACCCGTTTGACCTTTTAGTAATAAATATTTCCTTCTGAAAGTGTTAAACTGTTTCTATAGCTCTTTATTGCAATTACGAATTCCTGCCTCTAAAAGAGCGCTACTGTGTTTGTTTAACCCTCTGTATAACTGGCCTGCGGTGACCGTGTTATAGACGATTATCTCAACCATTATAGTGTTATAACTGATATCGCAGAGTTTCCTCTTTCTCTGTACAAAAAGGAGGTGGTGGCAGTGTGAAGGGTTAATTGCGTAATTACCTGACCCAGTAACAATCGCATTCAGGCTGCTGGTACATAGATTGTGGTCCAATTAGCTGGAAAATTGTTGTGCAGGGTGCAGCTGGGTCTGGCATTGTTACGCACGTGACATCGCGGTTTTAGATTGGCTAGTCCTTCAGTCACGAGTTTGGTGAGAAGGGCTGGGGTCTGACGCCACGTTCGTCCCATATTGGTGGCAGCGATCCTGGGATCGTCACAGGGACCTTAGAATATAAGCTCCTTGAGGGCAGGGACTGATGCAAATGTACAGTATGTAAAGTGGTGTGTAAATTTTAAACGCAATATAAATATCTGTAATAATGATAATGAGCAGTCCAAGTGTTAACACCCTCTGCACACTAACACTATAGGCTTCTTTATCCACTAATGTCCAGAGGTTGGGTCAAAAAAATTATCACTGTATATTTTCATATATGTTGCCCTCACTAATCCTCATGTCCTAGACCACAGAAGACCTTGCTGCCATATCCCCCCTCCAGTGACCTAGAAGGCTTTTAGTACAATCCTTGTACCGCTTGCTGTGCTCATATCTCTGCCTTGTGTCCCCATGAACCTATCACCATGCTATTCTATACCACTACCTGCAGCCCCATTGGATTAACCCTAGCTGCACCTTAGACTGCAATTGCAGTGAGTCTGGACTCATCCTTGCTGTTCCAAAGTGCTGCTTTGGGCCTCTGGACTTACTACTTGCTGTACCATGTTGCCACCCTGGATGTATCCAGTACCGTGTCCTCCCCTGACCTTGCTACTTGTCTGTCCATGCTGAACCCCTGATTGGTGCCCTGTAGACATACTCTTTTGTCCAAAACCCTTGTTTGTTGAACCCCTCAATACTGTTCTGACCACTTCCCTGTCACGGTACTAAAATTGCTAGCAGGCAAGACAAAAGCCTTTATGGCAGAAGAGATATACAGAGTCACTAATTTTATATCTGCTAGAGATAAATGGCATTGGTTATACTTAAGGCCTCATGTACACGGGACACTTCTGAACGATGGAAACTGACTGCTGGAAAACATAGGTTAAAAAACGTCTGTTTTGCCGCGTTTGCATAAGCACAGGAGAACCTTCCAAATGCCCAGAATGCGCTGCAAAGTGGTAAATTATTAACTATTTCAGATTGTTTCAGAGAAATACAGAGAGTAGAAGCAGAGACATCAGTATGTGTCGAGATTAGCTTAGGTGTGAGTTGCTCATTAACATTTATTTTGTTTCCAAGGGTGGGAAAGGTGTCTGGTGGAGTGAGTCATTAAGGCCACCTGGCAGAGGGTCTTCATGAGGAATTTGAGGCGTGAATGGTCATTAAGATATCTTTTGTTTCCAAGGGTGGGAGAGGTCTGAGGTGTGAATTGGTCATTACAATGTGTGACAAGCTTGGTAGGAACATCCTGTTTTGTCCATCTGAGTACCTTGAAAACTCTTTGCATGCATTTTTCATGATGAAAAAAGGCTCTGGGCAGCATCGGGAACTGGAAGAGTTAAAAAAAATTTCAACCGCAAACGCTTAGAAACGTGATTTGCCGCATTTAGCCACGTTTACAAGCATTTTGTGTTTGAAACACTGATAAAATCGACTGCTGAATGAAAGTTTTCTGCGTTCAAAAAAACGACTGTAAACGAAGATGTGTACATGGACCCATAGGAAAATATTAGGGTGAGTTCAGGGGCTGCTGAAAAAACACTGAACAGCTCCTAAACGTCAGTTTATCAGCTGCAGTGTACATGAGCCCTAAATGTGATCTCCCTTATCCTCTCTGAAAAGTCCCTTGCTTACCTGCTCTACTACACCCTACTGAGTCTTCACTATGGTGCTTACTCGACTTTGTGCAGTCTCTTCTTCCAAACCTTCAATGTCAGGTCTTGCAGCTCTCTCAGATTCCTACTTATATTGAGTCCAATAGAATGTTCATACTTTGATTAGCACAAGCTCTCCATGTGGGTTGCACATTGTAGCACATTGTAGCCTGAGAACAGTAGACTTCACTCCACAAGGCTACTGGTGTATTATATGGCAGTTTTATTAAGCTGTGTGACAGGCTTGACGTGTCAACAGGCAGGGCTAAAAAGTATTACTAAAGGAAAAAAAAAAGTTTTGCCTTTAGATCTACTTTAATTAGGCTAGACTAAAATTTGGTATGTCAATATGATGCAGTCATTGCAGATTCATAGCAGAGTTTAGCATGCACTATATGAGTAATGAAAACTCATTATAAGCAGCCATACTCCCCTAGCTATCATATAGAATTCTAATCACATAGGTACAGGGACTGTTTTACTGTTTTAAGGACAAGTTGATCTTGCAGCCTCCTACAAATAACTTCTAGGCAACCAAAATGTCTGTCTGTCCTGGAAACGGCTATTAGGTTTATAATACCCTGGAGATTATGATCATTGGATAATGCTTGGTTAAGGCCAGCATGTGCACAATGAAAATAATTATTCTACTTTTTGTTCTAAAATGGAACAGTCGATGATCTGTTAAAATATATTACAAATTTCTCAGTCAAGCCCTGATATGATTTGTAACGCAACCATTACATTACCATTTGCTCACTGGTGACATATGACATGGTTAAATTGCTACTAAGAATGCATGCATTCATGCACACTAGCTTAAAAAATCGCTGCTTCTACAGGAGTTTTGTGTTTTGCCTGTAGAAGCAGCTCAATGTTATTCTATGTGTCCATGAACATTAGGACAATTAGAGGCATATTTTAAGCTCAACGTTTATAGGCAGGAAAAAAAAACTTTTCTAGTTTGCATTTTGCTTTATGGCAGAAAAAAATACTAAATTGTCCTAACTCACTTAAACTGTGTACAAAAACGCTCTTTCATTGATTTTTTTCTGCCAACGGAACTAGGATTTTTTTTTTTAAAGCCCAGTGTGCATGGAGACTTAAGGTTGTCATTGAACAGTCAAATCATTGCAACAGTTCATCCATAGTTAGACAATTAGTCTGCCAAGTATTACAGCATTTTAGCTCATATTATGTATTTAAAAATATTTATACCTACGTGCAAAGGTATGATAGGTCTTAATTTAAAGTAGTAGCACCATTTTTTTCTTTGCATGAAAATCCATTTTCCATGTTCCTAAATAACCTTCTTTGCTATTTAATCATTTTGAAAATGTTAGGATTACCTGTTCCAAATTCCCCCTGTTCTGTGCATCAGGTTCAGCGCTTCCCGTAACTTCCAGTTGGCTAGCATGAACACAATCTCTCCAGAAAGCAAGTCTGTGGAACTACATATCCAATGAGCAGTCATGCTTATCTTAAAATGTGCATGCAAACACGTTTCATTCAATTCTAAACTCAATAAAGTGCTGAGATGTCAATCAATAGGAAGAGTGCAGATCACATGGCCTCTTCATCACCAACCGCTGTGTTATCTGTGCGCTTCAGCATGTATCTGTGTATACCTTGGGTGGCTCCACAGAAAACCTGCTAGTGATAGGAGCCACCCCAGAATAGGAAGTGAAGTTAGGCAATATAGGAAAATATAAAGTTGGCCATAGATAGATTGAATCTCGGCCAGCTCAGCAGAGGGCAGCCAAGATTTGATCCATCAATGGGCAGGCTGGTTGTACTGAAGTCAATCCATTGTTCGACTTCAGTACAACCAGCCTGTCGTATTTTCATGCATTTGCTATAGCCACCAGCAGTAATCCTTGTGTTCTTCAGGCAGGGAAGGCTTCCTGCTGCCTGAACACAATAGCGCTGAGGGAGGGATTCCCCCATCAACACTGCCTGTGTTCATGGGGGAATTGAGAGATCCTCTTTCCTGAAACCCGTGGTTCCAGGAAAGAAAATGGCATAATCTAAGGCTTGCTTAAAGCGGTTGTAAAGGCTCAATGTCTTTTTCATTCATGCATTCTATGCCTGAAGGTAAAAAACCTTCTCTGTGCAGC